ATGGTAAATGGGTGAGGAAATTTTAATTGAATGAGTTTTGGAACGTGTGGTGTTTCTGTTGGTGTTGTTTGATTTCTCTTATAAACATCCATGGGTATAAATCTTTCCTGAAGATTCTGTGTCTTTAAGTCCAGTTACTAACCTGTGGTCTGTTTCAGAGCTGTTTTAAAGCCACTTGATACTGGTTGTTTGAGAATCAGGTCTAGCACTTAAATAAGAGATGTAAGAGATAAGTATTATCTCTGTTCTAATCCAAAGTAAGGTAAAGATAAATGAACACTAAAACAAACTGAACAAAGAACCGAAAGAAGTTGTGGGAATGCAGGGTCAAAAAAAAAAAAACACACAGAAAGAAAGGGGAAGAAAGTGAGATCTACAAAGATCACATTGACCCCCTATCCTTTTAAAAATTATTTGATTTATTATTTATTTTATGAGAGTGGGTGTTTTTTTTTTGTATGCTTCTTTGTTTGTTCATCACACCATGTCTGAAGTCAAGAAGCCAGACGAGGACATCAGATGAACTGGAGTTGCCATTAGTCATCAAATGGGTACCAGGAACTGAATTCAAGTCTACTGCAAGAGCAGCAAAAGCTTTTAACCATCAAACCGTATTGCCAGAATTGTATGTTTCATTTGTATTTGTTTATTTCCTACTAAATTCTTTTAGGTCATTACAAATAAAACCTCTCATCTCATTCGGGGAGAAAACACAAAATATCAACAAGAAAATCTTCTACCTTGAAAGGCTATTAAAGGATCCTCTGCCCTTTCCTCAAGGTCTACTGCTATTTTTTTACAGGAGACAACCCTGTGCTTCAATTATTTTTTAAAGCCCACTTGGGATAAGATCTCCAAAGCCTTGTGGAATATATATATATATATATATATATATATATATATATATATAATGATTTCCATTCTCCTTAATGACAAATCAAACATTCCACAGCTATGCATGTGGCTCTTTTCACATGTCACTCATGTTTGCTGTAGGCAAGCCCTCTTTTTTCTCACTTTCAGTCTATTAGAGATTGTATGTATTGGTCTATAAGACGACACTTTTATTTTCTTGTGTTTCTTTCTGCTAGCCTCTGGTTGTTTTATTAGTTCTCAGATGATTTATGTATTTTCAGTGACTAGGTGCCTGGAAGGTAAGATGAATAGAGGTACTTTTATAGTAATATTTGAAAAATAGTTCAAGGCTTGAAAAAGCAAACTTATTAGGTACTCAAAATTAAAATGAATGTTTTCTTTGCCAAGCTACTCTTATGCAATAGTACAAGAGTCATGAAGAGAGGTTTTTGATAAATGTTTCTTTTTGTTGTTTTCTATCCATAGAACATCAATGTCAAATATGAATACTAAGTCATTATCATAAGATACTTGCATATTTTTTTCAGAGTTTTGTTCTGAAAGCTACAATCCTAAGGTACATGACTTCTGGGACATCTAGAACTCTGAAGTATTGAAAACAAATGCTAGTCAACATATAGTTAAGACTTCCCATGACATTTCTTCATGGAGACAGCATATTTCTATTATTCTTTTATACAGAAACTTATTTTAATATCAACATATTAGTATTTAAATAAAAATCTATGTGTTTGCATGCCTTTATTTTTATTAATTTCAGAGGTATTTGAATATAAAGGGTCTTCTTCATGCTCATAGCTTTAAAAGAAGGAATTCTCAGTATGATTCATATAGTGTGGAAAAATAAATACCACCTAGCATTCTTAACACATATTTCTGAATACATTACAAGATGTTCGGTTGATACTAATATTGCAAGTATTATCAGTTCTGTCCTTGAAACATTAGTTTCCCATTAAGCTTAAATAGCCACCAATAAGCATATGATGATGATAAGGATTATTTTTGTGTCATATATGACTTATATAATTTATTTGAATTTATCTCACCATAAAAGAAAAAATTTAAAAAGAGTTTGGGGGTAAAATATCCTTATTTGTATCAGGGTAATAATAGTATACTTTCTTAGCTAAGCTACTAATAGACAGAGTCTGACAAGGAATGCCAAGTATCACTGAGTAGCAAAGAAGTGTTCTGGAAAAGACTGAGGTCAAATATGAGAAGCAATTCACCTTATTACTCTCCATAATAGATACACTTCTAATGATAGTTCATAACCTGCATGAAGGTGATTACAATAACCATTCAGGCAATCAGCTCGATTCTGATGAGGTGTGCAGGGCCAGTGAGGAGAGCAGGAAAAGGACAGGGTCATGTTTTGACTCTGAAGATGTAGAAAAACAGGCACTCAAAGTACCTAAATGTAAACCAGACTCATGAAAGAAGAGAAGAAGAGAGGATTGTTAAGAACTCAAAACACGAGAGATCTTTGAGGAGCATGTAGAGGCTACGATAGAGCAATAGTTTATTGAGAATGATGAGAGAAGAGGAAGAACACCATGAGATGAGCTGGAAGTGACAATATCATAGATCTAGGATCACTAACTACTGCAGAAGCCATCTTATGAAAATGCAGATACTGCCAAACAAAAGCTAATACATGGCATCAACAAACTATGGAATTGTTTTTAATATCAGGGAGACTTACTGTGGATATTCTTGGGATGAAAAAAAAACCTCAATAATGAGACAAATACTGAAACTATTGGAATGTGATGTAGGTTAAGGGGCAATATATTTGAGTGTTGGGAAGCATCTTGCTCTAATTACATATATAAAGATTTTCTAGATATGGTAGACGTAGCCAGAGCCCTTTCACAAGTTAAGAAAGTATGATAATTAAAAAATAAAATAAATAAAAATGAAAGGAGTTGGAATGAGAATGAACAAATGACTAATTTTGAATGTCAGAAATATCTGCTGGGTTAACCATCTTAATGATCTAAGAAATAAATTGTCTTTGCAATCATGTCAGGCCCCATGGATGTGAATTCATTCTACCTTGGTCAGAGTTCAGAGAGTTCAGGCCTATTCTTATTCCTTCAAGGTTATGACAGGAAGTTTGACTCAGGGTATGGCTGTCTGCAGGATTCTTGGCCTAAATTGTGGCCACTGCATGTCCTGACTAAACAGAATACTTATCTCATGATATAGTTTCTTGATATTTCAGGTTTTGAAGAGGTAATTGCTCTATTTGTTCTTTGTATCATGGTAAAGCAGTCTTTTGCCCCTTCTTTCCCTGCTTTTGGATTGGGGTATGTAAGCATATGAAAAACAAACGCTCCCAACTCTATTCTGTGTTTCTGTCCTTTTCTTATGTATCTCTGTTTTTTTATTGTTGTTGTTGTTCTTATCAGAAAGTACTTGATAAGAAAATGGGGTTCAAAGAACTTCAAATTTCTCAGATGCTGGTTGTGTCCATGAAGGCAGACAGTGGTATGGGAATATTCTGAGATTATTTAGATAATATAGAGAGCTACTGTGGGATTTCTTTTTAATGTCCGTCTTCAGCAGAGGTTTCCATGGCTTCTGTAAACTCAATGGGTGATCCAGAAAATGAAGGATAATATTATGAGCTCACAGCAGTTTCAGTAAAAGAGAATGAGGCAACAGTGTATAGGACCCAAGAGAGAATGTGTTTTATGTGTCATAGTTGGGTAACAATGTAATTTATCATCCAAAGTGGGGCACATATGAGAGCAGAAGAAGGTTCAGACTAAATACAATGTGTGGGAAATCAGAATAAATTGTTCTGTCATTAGGCAACTCATGATAAATGACCAGTTTGTTCACAATGATGAAAACAAATTTTTAAAAGACCACACCAATTGGGGAAAAGTGTCTAGGAAATGGTCTAAATCTATGTGGATTTGGAAAACGATTATAGTAGGAGGCTAAAAATCCTGGAAGTAAAGTGAGGGTTGTAGTTGGTTAGATTTCAGAAGCTTAGTAGATACTGTGACTGTGGTTAATGAAACAATTTACTGGTGCTGGAGTGCTGAAGAGGAAGAATTCATTGAGGTTCAGAAGGCTGCAGTGTCTAACGTTAAAACATAAATGTTTATTTTTCCACTCATTTAAAATTGTCAAGCAAGATAGTGGAATCAATAGTGGAGACTTTGGAAGCCAGAGGTTATAATGCTCAAAGATGGCAGTGGAATGAGCCTGAGAGGGTCAGTCAGTAGCAAGGATGAGGTCCGGGTGATGTGATACTCAATGAAGATAGTTTTATAAGAGGGTACAAGAGGTTTGTTAATGGTTATTAAGAAAATGAATATATTTGCCTGGCATGGCTTCATGTCATTAAGTGTTTGAATCATCCTTGATCCTGTGTTCACTCTACAACTTTGATTATAATTTCACTTTCAATGCTCTCAGGGAAAGAATTAACTTTGTACTAATAACATGTGCAGCTTTTACATGTCTGTTGCAATCTTTATTTTAAATTATTAAACTAGACTTCTCATTATAATCACAAGTTTTAAATTTCTGATTGTAATTATATTTCTGCTTTCCCTATCCTTCCACAAGCTCTCCCATATACCCTTCTTCATTCTCTTTCAAATTCATGGGCTCTCTTTTCATTAATTATTGCATGCATATTTGTACGTACACATACATTTCTAAACATCACCTGCTCAGTCTGCATAATATTACTTTATGTCTATTGTTAGGGCTGATCATTTGGTATTGGGTAACTATTTGATGTGTTTTTTTTCCCCAGAGAAGACTATTTCTCATCCTCTTAGCTCTCCTTAGTTGTATTTGACTTTTTGTATATGGGAGAGGCCTCAGGGTCTTTTTCATGTTCACACTGGTATATTATTGGTGTCATCCTTGTTTAGCTCATTTTGCTGAGATTTTATGGGTATAACATCTGATAATACATGGAGTCACAATATCACAGCATACTCCCTGATCTTCTGTCTCTTTCAAACTTTCTTCCCCTTCTTTGGCAATATTCCCTGAGCCTTGGTTGTGGTTGTCATATTGTACGTGTGTCTATTGAGAATGGACAACTCTACATATTGATAAGTGGTTTTCTGTACTTGCCTTTGTCTGTTGCACAGAGAGGTTTCTTTGATGAGTGATGAAGACTACAAGTCTCTGTGAGTAAAAAGAAAAAATATTTACATAGTTATGAGAGATTATGATGGATTAGTAAGAATTGACTCCAAATTCTTCTCTAATAATCATAACATCACTAGCATACATTATTTATGTAGGTTTCCTGTACCAGCTATGGTTTCCTCTTCCTGAGAAGGTAGGTAGTCATAGTCCAATTATAGTGTTATTCATCACCACCAAAGTATATCTGCCAATACTGGACCCTTAGGGTTATCATTCCATGCTGATCCTTAGAGTGGTTCACAGATGTTACAACTGGGTGGAACTGTTGTTTGCCTTCCTCCTTTGGGAGCTTGCATGGTGCCTCTGGTGCCATGAAACCTAATCCTTAGGGAGGAGGCATTTAGGTTAGTTTCAGCTAATGGATCTATGGACACTCTTTCTGATGTTCAAAGTGTCTTCAGAAAAAGAGACTTATCATTCATCTCAGGGAGGCAACCAAGGGAAATAGAAATAGGCTATATGTTTTCTTTTCTTTTCTCCTAAAAAGACTTGGTTAACAAGCTAAAGAGGAATTTTCATGTACGGTATTGGGGTTTTATCAGATGGTCCTAGACTCTTGGAGGAAGCATTTTCCTGGCAAATAAAATGTGTTCATTAAAATGATGCATATTTATACACATAATGATGTATATTATACTTTTTGAAAAGCAAGTTGTTAACGGTATATTTCTTCATAGCTTTTTCAGACATCCTTATTGCTTTTTACTTAACTTCCTCCTGCTGTGTTTACTCCATTCCTACTCCTTAAAGAGCCTTACTTTTACATTTTCCTGATCAGATCACTTATTCTCTACTCTCCCCCTCTGTATGATTCCCCAATCTCCCTATCCTGTCAATGCATCTGTTTCACTTTCCTGGTTTCTGAGATACTCTAGGCTATGTACTTGCACCTGAAGATTTGGAGCTAGCTAAGTGCCTCAAAAGAGAGGGGGCATATGACATTTTTCTTTTTAGAGCTGGCTTACCACAATAAATATGACCATTTCTAGTCTACCCATTTATCTGCAAACTTCATTAGTTCATGTTTTCCTTTAAAGATTAATAGTATTTGACAGTATACATATATAGCAATATATATGTATATATACATAATATACATATATACACACACATATGTAGTTCATATTTTCATTACCCATTTATTGGTTGAAGGAGTTTTAAGTTGCTTCCATTTTCTAGCTATTGTGACTAAATCATCAATGAATACATATATATATATGTATATATAGTATACATATATATATATATATATATATATATATATATATATATATCTGTATCTGTAAGATATGAAGTCCTTTGGAAATTCACCAAGGATTGATATAGCTGGGTCATGATCTGTGTGGGGAATTCTCAAGAAGCCAAAAATAAATTTACTCTATGACCTAGCTCTATCACTCAATGTGGTGGTTTGAAGGAAAATGGTCCCTGAAAGGAGCAGCACTATTAGTCAGTGTGGTCTTGTGGGATAAACTGTGTCACTGTCTATGTAGGCTATGAGGTCTGATATATGCTCAAGATACTCCCCAGAATCTCAGACTACTTCTTATTGCCTACCTGCGCAGGATGGAGAAACCTCTGCTACCTTGCCAGCACCATGTCTGCCTGCATGTCACCATGTCCCACCATGATGATGATAATGGACTGATTCTCTGAAATGTAAGGCACCACAATTAAATGTTTTCCTTATTAAAATTGCCTCGGTCACGGTGTCTCTTCATAGCAATAGATGCCCTGACTAAGATGCTCATTTGCTTTTGATTTTGATTAAGAGTATTTCTTTCCAAGAGGATAGTCTACTCTTCCCTTGTTAGTAGACACAGAATGGAGTACTCACAGCATCATCATATCTTATACATGGAGAAACAATGAATGGAATTGCCACATTTCAACACTTTTTTGGAATTTTCTCATGGAGTTATATTATTCATAAGTTTAAGTAGCAAAAGGAGCTTTAATAGTACAAACTGTATTAAAAGCATCTTTGCTAAGATTGTAAATACTTGCCACTTTTGCTATTCTATACCTGATATCTCTGATTCTGACACACAAAAATTGTATCTACACATAACTTTTACATTTAGTTTCTTCTTATCATTCATGATATGAATAAATAATTATCATTAATAAATGCTATAGATTGTTCTTAATATATCTTTAACAAGAAAAGTTGGTTAAGAAATTAGTTCTCGGACAAAGGGGTGGCCGGTAGCTCCTTTGTTCCCATAGCCTGCCCGCAGCCAGCGGGGTGGGCCCTTTGTTCGCGAGCTAACCAAGCAGCGCAGAGTTTCGGAGTTTCGATCTGGGCACCGAGTGAAACATCATTGTGGTGAGTGAGTGCTTCGGCAGCTGCGAACATACCTCAGCCCGCCCACACTTCCTGGCCATCCTACAGGGGCTATACTGCCCAAACCGCCTCTCTCTTCCCATCCCATTCAGCTTACATCCAGATCCCCACACCCCCTGTCTCCCTCCCTCCCTCCCTCCTTTGGGGCATAGCGCCTCCCTGCTCAGCCTGCTAGGGTGCTGGGACCGAACCCGAACCGGGAGGACAAAGGGGTGGCCGGTAGCTCCTTTGTTCCCATAGCCTGCCCGCAGGGAGCAGGGTGGGCCCTTTGTTCGCGAGCTAACCAAGCAGCGCGGAATTTTAAATCTGGGCACCGAGTGAAACATCATTGTGGAGAAACATCTCTGGGGAGTGACATCACTGGGAAGGTACATCAGTGGGCAAGAAGACCTGATCCTGTAAAAGAAGATCCAAAGGGGAGTATTGGGAGGAAGAGATGGGCAGACGCCAATGCAAGAATTCTCCCAACAATCTGAAAAACAAAACGAAACCATCAGAAGCCAGTGACCCCACAACAGGAGGACATGAACACCTTAATCAAGAAGAAGTAGAAAAAACTGACTTCATGAAAGTGATTGACACCCTTAAACAGCATATAAAAAACGCCCTTATAGAAATGGATGAGAAGTATAATAGAAAGTTCGAGGAATTGAGTAAATCAGTGAATGATACCCTAGGAAACCAAGGAAAAACAATCAAGCAGATAAAGGAAACAGTTCATGATTTGAAAACTGAAATGGAGGCAAAGAAGAAAACACAAACAGAGGGCCGGCTGGACATGGAAAATCTAAGTAAACGAATAGAGACTACAGAATCAAGTATAATGAGCAGAATACAAGAGATAGAAGAAAGAATCTCAGATTCTGAGGATAACATAGAGAAAATAAACACTCTGATCAAAGAAAACAGCAAGTCCAACAAACTCTCATCACAAAACATTCAGGAAATATGGGACACAATAAAAAGACCAAACCTAAGAATAATTGGAGTAGAAGAAGGAGAAGAAGTGCAGCTCAACGGTACAGAAAATATACTTAATAAAATTATAGAAGAAAACTTTCCCAACCTGAAGACAGATGTACCTATGAAGGTTCAAGAAGCATACAGAACACCAAATAGGCTGGATCAAAAGAAAACATCCCCTCACCATGTAATAATCAAAACACAAAATATACAGAATAAAGAAAGAATATTAAGAGCCGCAAAGGAAAAAGGCCAAGTTACTTATAAAGGTAAACCTATCAGACTTACACCTGACTTCTCTATGGAAACCATGAAAGCCAGAAGGTCCTGGATAGATGTTCTCCAAAAACTAAGAGACCACGGATGCAAGCACAGACTACTATATCCAGCCAAACTTTCATTCACTATAAATGGAGAAAACAAAATTTTCCAGGATAAAAACAAATTTAAACAATACATAGCCACAAATCCAGCCTTACAGAAAATAATAGAAGGAAAATCACTAACCAAGGAGTCCAACAATGACCACAATAACTCAGTCATCTAGAGACTCTTCACCAGCGCAAATCAAAGAAGGAAAACACACAAACCCTACTACTAAAAAAGTAAACAGAGTTAACAACCACTGGTCATTAATATCACTGAATATCAATGGGCTCAACTCACCTATAAAAAGGCACAGGCTAAGAGACTGGATAAGAAAACAGGATCCAACATTCTGCTGTCTACAAGAAACACACCTCAAACACAAAGACAGGCACCTACTCAGAGTAAAGGGCTGGGAAAAGGCTTACCAAACAAATGGACCTAAGAAACAAGCAGGTGTGGCCATACTAATTTCTAACAAAGTTGACTTCAAACTTAAATCAATCAGAAGAGATGGAGAGGGACGTTTTATAATCATAACAGGAACAATTAATCAGGAAGAAGTCTCAATCCTGAATATCTATGCCCCTAATATAAAAGCACCCACGTACGTAAAAGAAACATTACTAAAACTCAAGGCAGCCATCAAACCGCACACACTAATAGTAGGAGACTTCAACACTCCTCTCTCACCAATGGACAGGTCAATCAGACAGAAACCTAACAGAGAAATTAGAGAATTAATGGAGGTAATGAAGCAAATGGACTTAACAGACATCTATAGATTATTCCACCCAAAGAGGAAAGAATATACCTTCTTCTCTGCAGCTCATGGAACCTTCTCGAAAATTGACCACATACTTGGTAACAAAGCTAACTTACACAGTTACAAAAAAATATTAGTAACCACCTGTGTCTTATCAGATCAACAACAATGCTACCCCCAGAAAGCCTACAAACTCATGGAAACTGAACAGTCAACTACTGAACCATACCTGGATTAAGGAAGAAATAAAGAAAGAAATTAAAGTCTTCCTTGAATTCAATGAAAATAAAGAAACAACATACTCGAACTTATGGGACACTATGAAAGCAGTCCTGAGAGGAAAGTTCATAGCACTAAGTGCCCACCTAAAGAAAACAGAGAAAGCACATATTGGAGACTTAACAGCCCACTTGAAAGCTCTAGAAAAAAAAGAAGCAGACTCACCTAGGAGGAGTAGAAGACTGGAAATAATCAAACTGAGGGCTGAAATCAACAAAATAGAAACACAGAAAACAATCCAAAGAATCAATGAAA